TTACGTGGGGAGCGGTGGTGCAGCGGTTAGCGCTACGCTGCTCTACGAAGCACGGCGACCCGAGTTCGATTCCCCGCTCACGGCCACCAACACCGCTCAGCGACAATTATCTGAACCGGTCCTGGGCCTCCCCTAGGTCGACTCAGCCTTAAATGAGTACCTGGTATAGCGGTGTGTAGTAAACGTCGCCACTGGGGAGACAAAGGCGGTCGGGCGTGGTGCTGGCCACCCGCCCCCTTCGTAGGTGCTGCTCGCTAACAGCACTTGCCCAAACAGTCTGTTAAAGCTATACGGGGGGGCTTTGTCTTGGTATACGATGATGGTCGTCAATAAGTGAAGGTGATCTGGTGGTGATGGCGGTGGTGATGGTGGTGGTGATGGTGGTGATGGCGGTGGTGATGGCGGTGGTGATGGCGGTGATGGTGGTGGTGATGTAGCGGTGTGTGTGTGGGGGGAGCGGTGGCGCAGTGATTAGCGCCCTGCACTACGAAGCACTGCCGACCCGAGTTCTGTTCCCGCTCACGACCCTACACCTGGTCCTGGGTCTCCCCTAGGTCTGCTCAGCCTTAAAATGAGTACCTTGGGCGCTGTGTAAACATCGGCGCTGGGGAGACAAAGGCGGTCGGGCGTTATGCTCGCCACCCACCACCCCCTCGTGTGCGGTCTTTGTGAGGCTGTGTAAGCGCTGAGGTTGCGTTTTTTTCCTCTGTGAGCTAAAGTTGACCCGGGTCTGTGCGCCAAATCGTTTCTGATTCCTTTCCAAACCGCCTCCTACCCCCCTCCCCCTCCTCCTCCCCCTCCCCCCCATCCTCACCCTCCTCCTCCCCTCCTCCTCTTCCCCCCCTCCTCCCCCTCCCCCCTCCTCCCCCCTCCTCCTCCTCCCCCTCCTCCTCTTCCTCCTATTCCCCCTCCTCCCCCCCCTCCTCCTCCCCCACTCCTCCTCCTCCTCCGTCATCCCTTCGTTATCCTCCTCTTAGAAGGAGGGAGCGTGGGATGGGAGCGTGGGGTGGGAGCGTTGGAGGGGAGTGATGGTGGTTGTGATGAGTGGTTGTGGTGGTAGTGATGGTGGTGGTGAGTGGTTGTGGTTTCAGTGATGTTGGTTGTGGTGAGTGGTTGTGATGGGAGTGATGGCGGTGGTGAGTGGTTGTGGTTTCAGTGATGTTGGTTGTGGTGAGTGGTTGTGATGGGAGTGATGGCGGTGGTGAGTGGTTGTGGTTTCAGGTATGTTGGTTGTGGTGAGTGGTTGTGATGGGAGTGATGGCGGTGGTGTTGATTGGTTGTGGTTTCAGTAATGGTGGTTGTGATGAGTGGTTGTGGTGGTAGTGATGGTGGTGGTGGTGAGTGGTTGTGGTGGTAGTGATGGTGGTGGTGGTGAGTGGTTGTGGTGGTAGTGCTTGTGATTTTAATGACGGGGATTGGATTGTGTCTTTGTCTTTGCATCACTCTTTTTCCCGTGGCCCCATCTTGTCCCAGTGGTGTCCCAGTAGTGACCCCGTGGTGTCCCCGTGTGTGATGACGTTGGTGGTGATGTTGGCGATGACGTTGGCGATGATGGATTATGACGCGTCTCTCTCTCTGCTGTCCCCCTTAACATTGCTGTGCCCCCCCCGCCTCTACCCCCCCTCTAGGTACGCGATCTCGATGGCTCGCAAGATCGGAGCGCGTGTCTACGCACTGCCCGAGGACCTCGTGGAGGTGAAGCCCAAGATGGTGATGACCGTGTTCGCCTGCCTCATGGGCCGTGGCATGAAGCGCGTGTGACGGAGACACATGAGGGAGACACGGGGGGAGGAGACACGGGGACACGGGAGGAGACACAGGGACACACGGAAGAGACCACAGGGACATGGGCAGGAGATACTCGGGACACGGGGAGGAAACACGGGGAGAAGACACGCGGACATGGGGACTGGGAGACACAGAGACACAGAGACACGGGGACACAGAGACACAGAGACATGGGGACACAGAGACACAGAGACACAGAGACATGAGGATACAGGGACATGGAGACACAGAGACTTGGGGACACAGGGACAAGAGCTGCGGCCAAATCTGGGCTTCTACGATGATTTTACATGTTTCTTCTCTATAACTTGTATTCTGTGGCAACTAACTCTACACTTGACCCCGGCTCTCCACGAGCGATGAGTAAATACCAATTAAAATCGGAGCTTTCACACCCTGCGCCCCGTCTCCATCTCTCGAACGGGGGTGGGGGTGGTGAAGATCGTGGTGGGTGTCACGTGGTGTTGAGGATCAGAATGGGTGTCACGTGGTGTTGAGGATTGTGGTGGATGTCACGTGGCGTTGAGGATAATGAATGTCAAGTGGTGGGTGTCACGTGGTGTTGAGGATCGTGGTGGGGGTATCCCGTTCTGCCCGCGGCCTTCGCCCGTTGTTGTTGTGGTTGTGGTTGTTGTTGTGTTTGTTGTTGTGGTTGTTGTTGTGGTTGTTGTTGTGGTGGTTGTTGTTGTGGTTGTTGTTGTGGTTGTTGTTGTTGTTGTTGTGGTTGTTGTTGTTGTTGTGGTTGTTGTTGTTGTAATGTTCGCACCGCGAGTGGTGGCAGGGAGAGAAAGAGACAGATCGAGGCGCCCCGCTGCGGTTCCGCCGTGCCTCTTTTATTCCTCCGGCGGGGGGTGACAACCTCGCCGGGCAACCGACGTGGGTTCGGGTCCGGCGTGGTGCGAGGCGACGCGTTAACGTTGCCCTACTTGCGTTAACCATTTTTGTGTGCGCTCGTTAAAATAGAAACCACAACAAAGAAGCGTCTATAAAGTTGTTCGTGCGGCCTGACCTCGCACGATACTGGATTACTCAACGCGTCCTTTAACAGCGACGCCGCTCCGTGCATCAGTGGAGACGTTATAAACAAAGATTTTCTTGAGCTGTTTCTTATTTTACCAGGTAAGCCCCCCCCCCCCACACTGAGCTACATAGCTCTTTTTCAAAAGCGAACTGGCCACAGATGATCGCTCAACAAAGTGGCTAATCATCATCACCACGCAGACAATTCACAGCAGCCAAATACCATGAACGCGTGACGTTGATAACGAAGCGTGGAGGGAAGAAATCGGAGGACCCAGAGAAAAAAACCACGCGGCCGCGCGGAGAGAGAGAGAGAGACACGCAAACTCCAAATATACAGCAGCAGGCGTCAGGGTCGGGATCGAACCCACGACCTCCTGTACACCAGGCGAGGTAGTCAACATCTCCTAGCCACCGTGATGATGATGAGAGAGAGAGACACGCAAACTCCAGATATAGGAGGCGTCAGGGTCAGGATCGAACCCACGACCTCCTGTACACCAGGCGAGGTAGTCAACATCTCCTAGCCACCGTGATGATGATGAAAGAGAGAGAGACACGCAAACTCCAAATACACAGCAGCAGGCGTCAGGGTCAGGAACCGACGACCTCCTGTTCACCAGGCGAGGTAGTTAACATCTCCTAAGCACTGTGGTATACAGGAGGTCGTGGGTTCCACCCCAACCCTGACGCCTGCTGCTATTTGGCGTTTGCGTGTCTCTCTCTCATCATCATCACGGTGGCTAGGAGATGTTACCTACCTCGCCTGGTATACAGGAGGTCGTGGGTTCCACCTCAACCCTGACGCCTGCTGGCTATTTGGCGTTTGCGTGTCCCTCTCTCTTTCTCTCCCCGTGGTCGCGTTGATTCTTCTCCGGGTCCTCCCGTTTTTCCCCACCACATTTAGAATCGTCGTCACGCGTTTCGAGTGTTTGGCTGCTGTGATACATTTGCACACAATGATGGGTGATGAGGATAATAAGCCCACTTCGTTGAGCCGTCATTTGCCGATAGCCAGGGGTCGCCTCTGAAAAAGAGCTACCCAGCCCAGTGATGCCTTACACCTGGTACAATGGACATACTTTCGTTTTAGTTTTGGGGTTAACTTCAGCGTGAAAGCGCGGTCACGAGTCTCCTGCCAGTCCGGGGACGGCGCATGCTGTTGCGAGCGTGACCCCAAGGGATGGGAGAGGGGGAGAGATTGGGGGAGAGCGCACAGGGAGCGAGAGAGGGGAGCGAGAGGGGAGAAGAGAGGAGATGGCTACGTGGTCAAAATAGATGTCAAATTATGTGGGAGCCAGAGGACATCCCTGCCGCACCCCAAGGTGAACAGGGAATGGCTCCGACTCCCGGCCACGTAGTTTTACCCAGGCCCGCTCACCATCACGAAGGCCCTTAATGATTGACCAGGTAAGGCTCACTGATCTACGATGTAGCCCTAATGACAAATGATAGCCCCAACCCAAGTGGCTGATGTCATCGCGTGGAAATGTGTAGCGGCAGCCAACTATGCTTTAAAATGCGTGATGTTGAGCCTTAAACGTGGAGGGAAAGACTGGAGGAGGGAAAGACTGGAGGATGCGGAGAAAAATCCATGGCGCATCAGGGTCGGGATGGAGCCCACGACCTCCTGCATAGCAGACGAGGTCGTTAACATCTCACTGCCTTGCCCATCTCCGTCTCTGCCTGCTCCTCCCTCTCAACTCCTCCTCCTCATCCACGCTACTACTCCTCCTCGCTACTGCTCCACCTCCCGACCCCTCCTCTTGCTCCTCGCAACTCCTCCTCACTCATCCTCCTCCTTTTCCTGACTCCTCCTCCTTCTCCCCACTACTCCTCCTCACTCCACCTCACTCCACCTCATCCTCGCTACCCCTCCTCCTCCTCCTTCTCCTGACTCCTCCTCCTCCTTCTCCCCACTACTCCTCCTCACTCCACCTCACTCCACCTCATCCACGCTACCCCTCCTCCTTCTCCTCCCTCCTCCTCCTTCTCACTCCACCTCATCCTCGCTACCCCTCCTCCTCCTCCTTCTCCTGACTCCTCCTCCTCCTCCTTCTCCCCACTACTCCTCCTCACTCCACCTCACTCCACCTCACTCCTCCTCCTTGCTACCCCTCCTCCCCCTCGCGGCGACCCTTCCTCGTTCAACTTTCCTCCCCCCGTGCCCCTCCCCCCGTGCCCCTCCCCGCCAGCCCCCCCGCCCTCTCAGCAGGGGTTGCGGTTCTTGATGTTGCTGAGCGCCGAGCGGAGGGTCGGTTTGTAGTTGACCACGAAACTCGAGGGCACCACCACGGCCCGGCCCTCGGCGTCCACGTGGCCCATCAGGATGTAGCTGCGGCCTGGAGACACGTGGGGGGGGGGGGGTGGTTAACAACACGGGGGGAGGGGAGCGTGGGGGGGGGGGTATGGGGAGGTACGGGGGAGACAAAGAGGAGAAACGGGGGAGATACGGGGGATAATTGGATAGGTATGGGAGATTTCGATTTGAAGCTTTCGTGACTGCAGGGATTCATCTTCTTGGTTCTTTCGGTAAAGTCACGTAGAATGGAAATAATAAAATAATAAACATAAACTAATAAAATAATTCTCACGACGTTTCGGCCACAACGCAAGCAGCCGTCCTCAGGTGGAGAACAGAATGGGAGAGTCAAAAAGAGACATTGGAAGACACGGGGGAGATGTGGGGGAGACACGGGGAAGAAACGGGGGAGACAAGGGGGAGACAGGGGAGACACTGGCGAGATGCGGGGGAGATGTAGAGGAGAAACGGGGGGAGACAAGGGGGAGACGCGGGGGAGACACGGGGTAGACACGGGAGAGACGCGAGGGAGACGCAGAGAAGAAACGGGGGAGACAAGGGGGAGACACAGGGGAGACACGGGGGAGATGCGGGGGAGACGCAGAGGAGAAACGGGGGGAGACAAGGGGGAGACGCGGGGGAGACACGGGGGTAGACACGGAAGAAACGCGCGGGAGACGCGATCCAGAGTCTGCGACCAGGAAAGGTACCGGGTAGACATGATCTCTCAAGCGAAATGTTGAGGGAGGGTGGCGTTTGTGCACAGACTGCCCTACATGACATCATAACAAAAGTCTGGACCACTGGACGTGTTCCGCAGGATTGGAAGGATGCCCTGGTGGTCCCCCTCTTTAAGAAGGGGGACCGCACAGACTGTAACAACTACAGGGGCATCTCATTCCTCAGTGTGCCGGGAATGGTCCTGGCAAGGATTATTAAACATCGCCTTGCTAGGCACGCTGAGGAGAGGCTTGCGGAGCCCCAATGCGGATTCAGGAAAGGGCGGTCCTGTACAGATGCCAAATTTTCTGTCCGCCTGCTACAGCAGAGGTGTAGGGAATTCCAACAAGACCTACATCTCTGCTTTATTGACCTGGCCAAGGCCTATGATACCATCAGTAGGCCTGGGCTCTGGGTTGTTCTTCTTGCTTTCGGAGTCCCTGACCCTCTGCTCACGATCATTAAGGACCTTCATGATGGTGAGCGGGCCCGGGTAAAACTACGTGGCCGGGAGTCAGAGCCATTCCCTGTTCACCTTGGGGTGCGGCAGGGATATCATCTGGCTCCCACATTATTTTACATCTATTTTGACCACGTAGTTCGTGAAGCCTTCGATGGCTGTACCGGAGGAATCTCCATCTAGTACAGATACAATGGGAGGCTGATCGATGCCCGGGTGTGGTCAAGGGATGCTCACTGTTGTGCGATTGGTGTGGGTGGTGTGGGTGGTGTGGGTGGTGTGCGGTTGGGTGTGGGTTTGTGGGTGATGTGGGTGGTGTGTGTGTGGACAGTGTGGTTGATGTATGTGTGTTGGTGGTGTGAGTGTGTGGGTGATGTGGGTGGTGTGTGTGGGTGTGGGTGATGTGGGTGGTGTGTGTGGGGTGTGTGTTGTGTGTGTGTGTGGGTGTGTGGGTGATGTGGGTGGTGTGTGTGGTGTGGGTTTGTGGGTGATGTGGGTGGTGTGTGTGTGTGGGCAGTGTGGTTGATGTACGTGTGTTGGCGGTGCGGGTATGGCTGGTGTAGGTGTGGGTGATGTGAGTGTTGTGGTGGTGGTGGGGGGGGCTGAGTGTATTGCCCCACCACCCCCACCCCCCAAGCCCCCCCCCCTCCACCCCCCCCCGCCCCGCCCCCCGCCCACCGGTCTTGATCTTGGGGCAGCGGGAGCAGGCGACGAGGAGCCGCGCGGTGGCGGCGCGCCCGGCCTGCTCCACGGCGAGGCCCTCGGCGCGGAACGACGCGAGCACGGCCACGTCGAACTCCAGCGCCGAGCGGCCGCGGCGACGCCCTGCACTCGTCACCTTCGCCGCCATCGCTGCACGGACACGGGGGGGAGGGGGGGGGGTCAGCCGGGGGGGTCAGGCAGAGGGGTCAGACAAAGGGGGTCAGACAAGGGGGTCAGATAAGGTGCTCAGGCAGCGGGGTCAGCCAGGGGTCAGCCGGCGGGGGGGGGGGGGGTCAGCCGTTGAGGTCAGGCAGGGGGGTCAGCCAGGGGTCAGCCGGGGAGAGGGGTCAGCCGTTAGGGTCAGGCAGGGGGGTCAGTCAGGGGTCAGGCAACAGGGTCAGCCGTTGGGGTCAGGCAGAGGGGTCAGCCGGGGGGAGGGGTCAGCCGTTGGGGTCAGCCGGGGGGGGGCGAGGGTTGACGAGGTGGCTGAGCCACAACCACCGTCACCGCAACAACCACAACTATCCGCACGACCACCATCAGCACAACAACCAGAACTATCCTCACCACCATTACCACCACTCCCATCACCACCACCACCATCACCACCGTCACCACCGTCACCACCACCATCACCACCACACCACTACCATCACCACCACTACCACAAACGTCACCACCACCATCACCACCGTCACCACCGTCACCATCACCACCACTACCACCACCATCACCACCACACCACTACCATCACCACCACTACCACAAACGTCACCACCGCCATCACCACCGTCACCACCGTCACCATCACCACCACTACCACCACCATCACCACCACCACTACCACCACCACCGCTACCACCGCTACCACCACCCCCACCACTGTCATCACCACCGCCACCACCGCCGTCACCACCGTCACCACCACCGTTACCACCGCCACCACCGCCCCCACCACCACCACCGTCACCACCGCCACCACCGCCCCCACCACTACCACCACCGCCACCACCACCGCCACCACCGCCACCACCATGTGGTTGTGCTTCCTACCGAATTTGCTGGCGCAGTAGTTGGTCTCCAGGTTGCCCTGACGCTTGCAGGGCAACTCGCAGGGCTCAGGGGTGGGCGCGACTGCTTCAACAACAACAACAACAACAAAGACATCAACAACAACGACATCATCAACAACGAGCCATCAACATCAACATCGCCAGCAATAACAGCAACAACGACATCATCAACAACATCAACAACAACGCCAGCTATAACAGCAACAACGACATCAACATAGCCAGCAATAACAACAACAACGACATCATCAACAAGGAGCCATCAACAACATCAATAATGGCAACATCAACAACAATGATACCATCAACAACAACAACAATGACAACAACAACAATGACATCAACAACAATACCATCAACACACACCTGTACACACACCTGTCAAAGATCCCCCGTATAGCCTTAACTGACTGTAGGGGCAAGTGCTGTTAGCGAGCACCTATGAAGGAACGGCACACGAGGGGGTGGGTGGCCAGAACCACGCTCGACCGCCTTTGTCTCCCCAGTGGCGATGTTTGCACATCGCAACAGGTACTCATTTGAGGCTGAGTCGACCTAGGGGAGGCCCAGGACCGGCTCACATAATCGTCACTGTGGTGTTGGCCGTGAACGGGAATCGAACCCGGGTCGCCAGGTTCATAGCATAGCGTAGCGCTAACCGCTGCACCACCGCTCCCCATCCTCCACATTTAGAATCACGATGCGTTTCGTATATTTGGCTGCCATGAAATTCCACACCACGATGATGATGGTGATGATCAGCCAACTTCGTTGGGCTATCATTTGCGATAATCACTTCTCTTCTTAAACAGAGCCATACAGGAGAGTATATTTGGTATATTGATGATACTGATGTAGTTTATATTTTCGTTTTTTACGTGGTGGTTTAGCTGCTGCAGCTCCTTACTATTAAAATTCCTTCCCCTTTATTACTGCTAACCCTACTCCCTCCCTTTGATGCTGCTAATCCTACATAATGCACGGGCATAATATGACTTTGAGACCCCCCCCCCCACCTCCTACGCATTCCACAAGTAGTGACTAATCCCATATCTGCATTTGCCATAAATATGCTAAATTCCTCTGTTGATATGCAAATTCCTTTGTCAAGGCGCCCTTCCTCCCCTAACCCAGCTTAAATATACGCTGCCAAGCTTGGTGGTGTTCATTCAGACGCTGTCTTTCCAACAGACCTGTTCTTCACCTGAGAACGGCTGCTTGCGTTGTGGCCGAAACGTCGTGAGAATTGTATTTTATTATGTTTATTTTTATTATTTTATTATTTCCCTTCTACGTAACTTTACCGAAAGAACCAAGAAGATGAATCCCTGCAGTCACGAAAGCTTTAAATCGAAATTTAGAGCCATACAGCTCAGTGGGACCTTACCTGGTAGAAATGAAACATAGTTTTAAAACGTACATAGATGCCATTCGCAAACTGCAATTGCCCTCCGCAGCTTGTGAAGGATACACCTTTGTCTACGCGTGTGTATATGTCTCTGTGTGTGTACATGTCTGTGTAGTGTACATGTCTATGTGTATATGTCTATGTGTGTGTGTACATGTCTATGTGTGAGTGTCTATGTGTGAGTGTCTATGTGTGAGTGTACATGTCTATGTGCACATGTCTATGTGTGAGTGTCTATGTGTGTCTGTACATGTATATGTGTACATGTCTGTGTGTGAGTGTCTATGTGTGAGTGTCTATGTGTACATGTCTATGTGTGAGTGTACATGTCTTGGTGTACATGTCTACTTGCGAGTGTCTATGTGTGAGTGTTTATGTCTATGTGTGAGTGTACATGTCTATGTGTTAGTGTGCACGTGTACAAGTCCACGTGTACAAGTCTACGTGTGCGTGTACACGTGTACAAGTCCACGTGCACAAGTCCACGTGTACAAGTCCACGTGCACAATTCCACGTGCACAAGTCCACGTGTGCGCGTGTACCACGTGCGCTGGCACCAGTGGCTGCGGGTATCTGGGCGGCTGCCGTGGTGGGCTGGAGCGCTCCGTCTCCTTTGCGGCTGCCCACGTCCAGGAAGCGATACTCAGCCATGAAGCCGTCGGCCGGCACGCTGCGGTCCGACACGAAGTGCACGTACAGCTCCCTCCCCAGCGAGGTCACGGGCCTGCCGTGGGAACGGGGAGGTGAAGCCTCAGACGTGGTTGTGCGCGCGCATGGACATGTGTGTGTGTGTCTGTACAGGTGTCTGCACACACGTGTGTGTACAGGTGTGTGTACAGGGAGCGGTGGTGTCACGGTTAGCGCTGCGCTGCGCTACGAACCCGGCGACCCGGGTTCGATTCCCGCGAACGCCAGTGACGATTATCTGAACCGGTTCTGGGCCTCCCCTAGGTCGACTCAGCCTCAAATGAGTACCTGGTGCGGTGTGTAAACATCGCCGCTAGGGAGACAAAGTGGTCGGGCGTGGTGCTGGCCACCCACCCCCTCGTGTACCGTTCCGGCCTTCATAGGTGCTCGCTAACAGCACTTGCCCCTACAGTCTGTTAAGGCTATACGGGGGATCTTTGTCTTTATCTTTGTACAGGGAGCGGTGGTGTAGCGGTTAGCGCTGCGCTACGAACCCGGCGACCTGGGTTCGATTCCCGCTCACGGCAAACACCGGTGACAATTATCTGAACCGGTTCTGGGCCTCCCCTAGGTCGACTCAGCCTTTAAATGAGTACCTGGTGCGGTGTGTAAACATCGCCACGAGGGAGACAAAGGCGGTCGGGCGTGGTGCTGGCCACCCACCCCCTCGTGTGCCGTGCCGGCCTTCATAGGTGCAGCTCGCTAACAGCACTTGCCCCTACAGTTCTGTACTTGTGAGGCATAAGCAATTAGGAAATAACACTTACTACCCAGGAACAAAAAAAATTGTTACACAGTGTTATCTGAACCTTTCCTGGGCCGCCCCTAGGTCGACTCAGCCGCAAACTCATGTCACAACCACACGCGTATCACATACACACACGCGTGTCACACGCACACACACACACGTGTCACACGCACAGAGCACACGCGTGTCACACACACACGCGTGTCACAGGCACAGAGCACACGCGTGTCACACGCACACACACACACGTGTCACACACACACGCGTGTCACGCACACACACACACGTGTCACACGCACACACACACGCGTGTCACAGGCACACACACATGGGTGTCACACGCACAGAGCACACGCGTGTCACACGCACACACACACACGTGTCACAGGCACACACACGCACACACATGGGTGTCACACGCACAGAGCACACGCGTGTCACACACACACACACGCGTGTCACACGCACACACACGCACACACACGGGTGTCACACACGCACGCGTGTCACACACACACACACGCGTGTCACACGCACACACACGCACACACATGGGTGTCACACACACACACACACGCGTGTCACACACACACACATGCGTGTCACACACACACACACGCACACACATGGGTGTCACACACACACACACGCACACACACGCGTGTCACACACACACACACACGTGTCACGTACTCAGGCACCGTGTCACACACGCACACACACGTGTCACACGCACACACACGCGTGTCACGTACTCAGGCACCGTGTCCCCGCAGAACTTGGTGGCGCTGCTGTTGCTCCCTCCGCCGTCGCCATGGAGAATGGAGACGTAGTCATAGCGACAGAAGGTGTCACGCTCCAGCGAGAACTTGCCGAACGACAGCTCGATCACCTAGGAGATGGCCCCGGTCGGGGGTCACGGGGTGGGGTCAGTGAGTAGGGGTTAGAGTCCGGGGGGAATATGGTTCAGGAGTCAGGATATGTGGTTTGGGGCAGTAAGGTCAGGGGTTAGGGGATAGTTTCAGGGGCTAGGGGATAGGGCCGCGTGGTAGGGTCAGGGCCCAGGGCTAGCATTCAGGGGTCAGGATTTGTGGTTAAGTGATAGGGTCAGGGGTTAGGGGATATGTTCAGGATGCAGGGAACAGGGGTCAGGGGAGAGGATCAGTCGGTAGGGTCACGGTCCAGGGGTCGTGCTCAGGGGTCATGATTTGTGGTTAGGCGATAGGGTCAGGGCTTAGGGGTTAGGTTCAGGATGCAGGGAACATGGGTCAGGGGATAGGATCAGGGGGTAGGGTAGGGGTAAGCGTCCAGTGGTAGCGTTCAGAGGTCAGGATTTCTGGCAAAGCGATAGGACCAGGGCCCAGGGAAAAGGGTTGGGGTCAGGGTCAGGGTCAGAATGAGGCTTTCCAAGGTGATGTGTGACCGGGTGGGAACAGAAGAGACCAGGATAGGAGTCTTATTTGCAAGCAGTGAACTCAGCTCGGGTCACTGTTCAGAATGATGCTGGCATTTGTTCAGAACAAGACCAGTGTTTGTTCAAAACAGGACCGGTCTTTGTTCACAACTGGACCGGTGTTTGTTTAGAACATCACTGGTGTTTGTTCAGAACAGGAACGGTGCTTGTTCAGAACAGGACCGGTGTTTGTTTGGAACATCACCGGTGTTTGTTCAGAACAGGACCGGTGTTTGTTTGGAACAGAAGCGGTGTTTGTTCAGAACAGGACCAGTGTTTGTTCAGAACATAAAAAGTGTTTGTTCACAACAGGACCGACATTTGTTCAGAACATCGCTGTTGTTTGTTCAGAACAGGACCGGCGTCTGTCAAAACATGACCAGTGTTTGTTTGGGACAGAACCGGTGTTTGTTCGGAACATCACCGGTGTTTAGTTGGAACAGGACCAGTGTTGTGCAAAACAGGACCGGCGTTATGGTGTTTGTTCAGAACAAAATCAGTGTTCTGGTGATTGTTGAGAACAGGACCAATGTTTTGGTGTTTGTTCAGAACAGAACCAGTATTTGTTCAGAACACGACCGGCATTCTGGTGTTTGTTCAGAACAAAATCGGTGTTCTGGTGATTGTTGAGAACAGGACCAATGTTTTGGTGTTTGTTCAGAACAGAACCAGTGTTTGTTCAGAACACGGCCGGCGTTCTGGTGTTTGTTCAGAACAAAATCGGTGTTCTGGTGATTGTTGAGAACAGGACCAGTGTTTGTTGAGAACAGGACCGATGTTTTGGTGTTTGTTGAGAACAGGACTGCTGTTTGTTCGGAAGAAGAATCACCTTGGAGGAGGGAGCCTTGATGTGCCAGGAGCAGGTGATGCCGACAGGATACTTGCTCTGAGGCCAGTTGGGGGTCTTGAAGGAGCCCACCTCCTTCTCCAAGAGCCCCCCACAGTAGCCCTCGGCTGTGACAACATGGACACGTGTGTGCACATGTGTGTGTGTACAGGTGTGTGTACACGTGTTTGTGTGTACACGTGTGTGCACATGTGTTTGTGTGTACACGTGTGTGCACATGTGTGTGCACAGGCATGTGTACACGTGTGTGTACACGTGTTTGTGTGTACAGGTGTGTGTACAGGTGTGTGTACATGTGTGTGCACATGTGTATGTACAGGTGTGTGTACACGTGTTTGTGTGTACACGTGTGTCTACAGGGGGGTTGGGGGGAGGGGGTTGGGGGGTTGGGGGGAGTTGGTTGGGGTGGGGGGAGTTGGTTGGTGGCGGTGGGGGGAGTGGGATGGGGGGGATCAGGGGGAGGGGTTGGGAGGGGGATCGGGGGTTGGGGGGTTGGGGGGATGGGGGTTGGGGTGGGGGGAGGGGTTGGTGGGGGTGGGGGGAGTGGGTTGGGGGGGATCAGGGGGAGGGGTTGGGAGGGGGGATCGGGGGATGGGGGGATGGGGTTGGGGTGGGGAGATTGGGGTGGGGGGATTGGGGGGAGGGGGATTGGGGGGGGAGGGTGATTTGGAGGGTGTGTGTGTGCACTGACCTGCTTGGTGCGGCTGCCCCGCCGTGTAGGACGCCACGAACCCCCCCTGCTGCCCGCTGCCGTCGCTGTGGAACCTGGCGACCAGCTCGTGCGACGTGGACACGAGGGCGCCCTGGGCGGAACGAGCCGCAGAAGCGGCCCAGCAGCTGCGGGGGGGGGTCCCCCTCGGACACCGCCCCGACCCCCGAAAACACTGAGAGGTGGTCGTACCTGGGGGGGAGGGGGGGGGGCATGGGGGAAGGGATAGGGCTCATGGTGGTTCAAGTTCATGTATTTCAAGTTCATTTATTAGATGTAGATCTTTTCGATGTAAAGCTTTCGTGACTGCAGGGATTCATCTTCTTGGTTCTTTCGGTAAAGTCGTCACGTAGAAGGGAAGTAATAAAATAATAAAAATAAAACGTAATAAAATTTCGATTTAAAGCTTTCGTGACTGCAGGGATTCATCTTCTTGGTTCTTTCGGTAAAGTCACGTAGAAGGGAAATAATAAAATAGTAAAAATAAAACATTATAGATTTTCGATTTAAAGCTTTCGTGACTGCAGGGATTCATCTTCTTGGTTCTTTCGGTAAAGTCATCACGTAGAAGGGAAATAATAAAATAATAAAAATAAAACATAATAAAATTTCGATTTAAAGCTTTCGTGACTGCAGGGATTCATCTTCTTGGTTCTTTCGGTAAAGTCACGTAGAAGGGAAGTAATAAAATAATAAAAACAAAACATAATAAAATAATTCTCACGACGTTTCGACCACAACGCAAGCAGCCGTCCTCAGGTGGGCTGGTGTAACCAGGAGGTTCCTACCAGTAATATGTGGTGTATTGGCCAACCACGTTATGTATGCCGATGATCTGGTAATTGCCGCTCACTCAGTGGAGGAGTTGGAGGCGCTGCTGCTGAACCTGGAGCGTGCCACTAAGAGGTGGGGCCTTACCATCAGCCCCACCAAAACTAAGCACCTGCCTGGGTATTTTGTACCATCGGACACTCCACCTCCACAACTCTGAATCGGTGATGGGTCAGTTGTGGAGAGAGTGGAGAGTTTCTCATACCTGGGCAGTGTGCCCATGACCGGCTCCGGTGGTGTGTGTGTTTGGTGTGTGTGGTGTGTGTGGTGTGTGTGTGTGGTGTGTGTGGTGTGTGTGTGTGGTGTGTGTGTGGTGTGTGTGGGGTGTGTAAGTGTGTGTGTGTGGTGTGTGTGTGGTGTGTGAGTGTGGTGTGTGTGTGTGTGGTGTGGGTGTGTGTGTGAGTGTGTGAGAGTGTGTGTGGTGTGAGTGTGTGTGTGGTGTGTGTGTGGTGTGTAGTGTGTGTGGTGTGTGTGGTGTGTGGTGTGCGTGGTTTGTGTGGTGTGTGTGTGGTGTGTGTGGTGTGTGTGTGTTCAATGCACCTGCAGTGTGGGTCACTCTCCAGGTCAAAGAATCGAAAAGAGAGGAAGACGACTCGATCTTTTGGAACCTGTCAATCACACACACACAGACGCACACCAAATACAAAGGTCCCCCGTGTAGCCTGTAACAGACTGTTGGGGCAAGTGCTGTTATCGAATAGCACCTACGAAGGCCGGCACGGCACACGAGGGGGTGGGTGGCCAGCACCCTCTCGGCCGCCTTTGTCTCCAAAAGGGCGACGTTTACTACGCACCGCACCAGGAACGAATTGAGGCTGAGTCAACCTAGGGGAGGCCCAGGACCGATTCAGATAATCGTCACTGGTGTTGGCTGTGAACGGGAATCGAACTCGGGTCGCCGGGTTCGTAGCATAGCCCGGCAACCACTCGCCAACCACCACCGCCACAACCACAACCACCACCACAACCACCACCACAACCACCGACACCACAACCACCGACACCATCACCACAACCATAACCACCACCACAACCACCACCACCACAACCACCACCACAACCACCGACACCATCACCACAACCATAATCACCACAACCACCACCACAACCACAACCACCACCACAACCACCGACACCATCACCACAACCACAACCACCACCACAACCACAACCACCACCACAACCACCGACACCATCACCACAACCATAACCACCACCACAACCACCACCACCACAACCACCACCACAACCACCGACACCATCACCACAACCACAATCACCACAACCACCACCACAACCACAACCACCACCACAACCACCGACACCATCACCACAACCACAACCACCACCACAACCACAACCACCACCACAACCACCGACACCATCACCACAACCATAACCACCACCACAACCACCACCACCACAACCACCACCACAACCACCGACACCATCACCACAACCACAATCACCACAACCACCACCACAACCACAACCACCACCACAACCACCGACACCATCACCACAACCACAATCACCACAACCACCACCACCACTGCCCAGCAATGATAGCCTCAAGCCTAACCAATGGGGGTTGGGGGCAGGGTGGGGGCAGGGTGGGGGCAGGGTGGAGGCAGGGTGGGGGCAGCGGGGGCAGGGTGGGGCAGGGTGGGGGCAGGGTGGGGGCAGGGTGGGGCAGGGTGGGGGCAGGGTGGGGCAGCGGGGGCAGGGTGGGGCAGGGTGGGGGCAGGGTGGGGGCAGGGTGGGGCAGGGTGGGGGCAAGGTGGGGGCAGGGTGGGGGCAGGGTGGGGGCAGCGGGGGCAGGGTGGGGGCAGGGTGGGGGCAGGGTGGGGGCAGGGTGGGGGCAGCGGGGGCAGGGTGGGGGCAGGGTGGGGGTAGGGTGGGGCAGGGTGGGGGTAGGGTGGGGCAGGGTGGTGCCGTGCGTCTCATCCCAGCCGCGTAACTTTTTGTGGTAACTCCACAACTGGGGGGGATGTGTCTGGGTGTACGTACGTTATGCACCTTGAACGTCTTTCTATGGGTAGTGTTGAGTCTATGGGCAGTGTTGAGTCTATGGGCAGTGTTGAGTCTATGGGCAGTGTTGAGTCTATGGGTAGTGTTGAGTCTATGGGCAGTGTTGAGTCTATGGGCAGTGTTGAGTCTATGGGCAGTGTTGAGTCTATGGGCAGTGTTGAGTCTATGGGCGGTGTTGAGTCTATGGGTGGTGTTGAGTCTATGGGCAGTGTTAGTCTATGGGCAGTGCTGAGTCTATGGGTAGTGTTGAGTCTATGGGCAGTGTTGAGTCTATGGGCAGTGTTGAGTCTATGGGCAGTGTTGAGTCTATGGGCAGTGCTGAGTCTATGGGCAGTGCTGAGTCTATGGGCAGTGCTGAGTCTATGGGCAGTGTTGAGTCTATGGGCAGTGTTGAGTCTATGGGCAGTGTTGAGTCTATGGGCAGTGTTGAGTCTATGGGCAGTGTTGAGTCTATGGCAGTGTTGAGTCTATGGGCAGTGCTGAGTCTATGGGCAGTGTTGAGTCTATGGGCAGTGTTGAGTCTATGGGCAGTGTTGAGTCTATGGGCAGTGTTGAGTCTATGGGCAGTGTTGAGTCTGTGGGCAGTGCTGAGTCTGTGGTCAGTGGTGAGTCTATGGTGCAGTGTTGAGTTTATGGTTCAGTGTTAGTCTATGGGCAGTGTTGAGTCTATGGGCAGTGTTAGTCTATGGGCAGTGTTAGTCTATGGGCGTTGTTGAGTCTATGGACAGGGTTGAGTCTATGGGCAGTATTGAGTCTATGGGTAGTGTTGAGTCTATGAGCAGTGTTGAGTCTATGGGCAGTGTTGAGTCTATGGGCAGTGTTGAGTCTATGGGTAGTGTTGAGTCTATGGGCAGTGTTGAGTCTATGGGCAGTGTTGAGTCTATGGGCGGTGTTGAGTCTATGGGCAGTGTTGAGTCTATGGGCAGTGTTGAGTCAATGGTGCAGTGTTGAGTCTATGGGCAGTGTTGAGTCAATGGTGCAGTGTTGAGTCTATGGTGTAGTGTTGAGTCTATGGGCAGTGTTGAGTCTATGGGCAGTGTTGAGTCTATGGGCAGTATTGAGTCTATGGGCAGTGTTGAATCTATGGGCAGTGTTGAGGCTATGGGCAGTGTTCAGTCTATGGGCAGTGTTGAGGCTATGGGCAGTGTTGAGGCTATGGGCAGTGTTGAGTCTATGGGCAGTGTTAGTCTATGGGCAGTGTTGAGTCTATGGGCAGTGTTGAGTCTATGGGCAGTGCTGAGTCTATGGGCAGTGTTAGTCTTTGGGCAGTGCTGAGTCTATGGGCAGTGTTAGTCTATGGGCAGTGTTAGTCTATGGGCAGTGTTAGTCTATGGGCAGTATGGATGGATGTTGAACTTCTTTCGCACCGTACGTAGCCAACCGTGCTAGTCAGAGGTGCGTGGATGGCGTGCGAGCGCGCACAGCCAGGCCCTGTTATTGAACGCAGTCCGGGGGTCAAACTCGCCGGATCGATAAACCCCAGAGCAGCGGGCGAGCGTGACCTCTGGGCGTGCTCCAGCCGTGTCCGAGAGGTCATTTACGGGGTCAAGTAGTAGGAGGTCGCGCCTCGGAGTTCACGCCCACAGGTCACGAATGGAGGTCACGTGCGGAGGTCACGCCCAGAGGTCACCCCCAGAGGTCACGCACAAAGGTCACGTGCGGAGGTGAAGCACAGAGGTCATGAACGGAGGTCACGTGCGGAGGTCACGCCCAGAGGTCACGCACAGAGGTCACGCACGAAGGACACGTCCAGAGGTCACACTCGAAGGACATGCCCAGAGGTCACGCCCAGAGGTCACGCACGAAGGTCACGTGCCGGAGGTGAAGCACAGAGGTCATGAACGGAGGTCACGCCCAGAGGTCACGCCCAGAGGTCACGCCCAGAGGTCACACACGAAGGTCACGTGCGGAGGTCAAGCACAGAGGTCACGCCTACAGGTCATGCCCACCGGTCACGTTCGGATGTCACATCCAGAGGTCACGCCCGAAGGTCACGCTCAGAGGTCACGCGAGGAGGTCACGCACCGTGATCCTCCACTCACAGTCCTGCTCCGGGAGGTATTTCTCGGGGAACCCCGGACTCCCGAAAAATCCCGACTCGCCGGACAGATGCCCTCCACACGCAAAGTTGGGCCTGCGGTGGCAACAGCATCATCAGTAGCAGTATCATCATCATCAGCAGCATCAGCAGCATCATCAGTAGCAGTATCATCATCATCAGCAGCATCATCAGCATCGCCCACATCATCAGCAGTAGCATTAGCAGCAACAACATCATCATCATCAGCAGCATCAGCATCGCCCACATCATTAGCAGCATCAGCAACAACATCATCATCAGCAGCATCAGCATCGCCCACATCATCAACAGCATCAGCAACAACATCATCATCTTCAGCAGCATCAGCATCGCCCACATCATCAAGAGCATCAGCAACAACATCATCATCTTCAGCAGCATCAGCATCGCCCACATCATCAGCAGCATCAGCAACAACATCATCATCAGCAGCAGCATCAGCATCGCCCACATCATTAGCAGCAGCATCAGCAACAACATCATCATCTTCAGCAGCATCAGCATCGCCCACATCATCAGCAGCATCAGCAACAACATCATCATCAGCAGCAGCATCAGCATCGCCCACATCATTAGCAGCATCAGCAACAACATCATCATCAGCAGCATCAGCATCGCCCACATCATCAGCAGCATCAGCAACAACATCATCATCTTCAGCAGCATCAGCATCGCCCACATCATCAGCAGCAGCATCAGCAACAACATCATCATCTTCAGCAGCATCAGCATCGCCCACATCATCAGCAGCAGCATCAGCAACAACATCATCATCTTCAGCAGCATTGCCACCGAATCCCCCCACGGGTCCCCTCTGCAAGCAAAGTTGGGCCTGCGACGGCATTATCGTCAGCATCACCATCAGCAGCATCAGTATCAGCATCAGCTTCATTATCATCATCAGCATCAGCCTCATCATCAGCATCCTCAGCATCATCAGTATCATCATCATCATCAGTAGCATCAGCATTGGCATCATCATCAGCAGCAGCATCATCATCATCAGCATCCTCATCATCAGTATCATCATCATCATCAGTACCATCATCAGTAGCATCAGCATTGGCATCATCATCAGCAGCAGCATCATCATCAGCATCATCAGTATCATTAGCAGCATCATCAGCAGCATTGGCATCAGCAAGATCATTGACACAGTGAATTTCATGTTCCCGCATGTAACAATCATCACCATCAGCATCATCATTCGTGTTACTACCCCTGTTGTTGCTGTGGTTGCAGCTGTTGTGGTTGTAATTGTTGTGGTGGTTGTGGTCGCAGTCGTCAATGTGGTGGCTGTTTCGATTGTTGTGGTGGTAATGTTAGTTGTAGTAGTGGTTGCGGTAGTATCTAATGTGGTTGGTGGTTGTGGTGGTATTAGTTGTGGTCGTGATAATTGTTGTGGTAGTTGCTGTGGTTGTGGTATTAGTGGTGGTGGTGGTAGTAGTTGTGGTGGTGGTTGCGGTAGTGTCTAATGTGGATGGTGGTTGTGGTGGTAATGTTAGTTATAGTGGTGGTTGCGGTAGTATCTAATGTGGTTGGTGGTTGTGGTCGTGATAGTTGTGGTGGTAGTTGCTGTGGTAGTCGTGGTGGTTGTGGTGGTGGTTGTGGTATTAGTTGTGGTGGTGGTAGTAGTTGCGGTGGTAGTTGCTGAAGTAGTTGTTGAAGTCTCACCCAGCCACTTGCGCCTGAACGTGTGGCACCACGACCATCATCATCAGCACCATCATCATCATCAGCACCATCATCAGCACTCGTGACGCCATCGCGTGGCCTGTGAGGAGGTGGCGAAGGTAGAAGAGGTGGAGGAGGAGCAAGAGGAGGAGGAGATGGAGTGGAGAGTGAACAATGAGGCACTGCTGCTGCTGCTGCTTCTGGGAGCTTCTGGTGGAACTGCTGCTGCTGCTCCTAGTGGAGCTGCTGCTGCTGTTGCTGCTTCTGGGAGCTTCTAGTGGAGCTGCTGCTGCTGCTTCTAGTGGAGCTGCTGCTGCTGCTTCTAGTGGAGCTGCTGCTGCTTCTAGTGGAGCTGCTGCTGCTTCTAGTGGAGCTGCTGCTGCTTCTAGTGGAGCTGCTGCTGCTTCTAGTGGAGCTGCTGCTGCTTCTAGTGGAGCTGCTGCTGCTGCTAGTGGAGCTGCTGCTGCTGCTTCTGGGAGCTTCTAGTGGAGCTGCTGCTGCTGCTGTTGCTTCTGCTGCTGCTTCTGGTGGAGCTGCTGCTTCTAGGAGCTTCTGGTGGAGCTGCTGCTACTGCTGCTGCTGCTGGGAGCTTCTAGTGGAGCTGCTGCTACTGCTGCTGCTGCTTCTAGTGGAGCTTCTGCTGCTGCTGCTTCTTCTAGGAGCTTCTAGTGGAGTTGCTGCTGCTGCTGCTTCTGGTGGAGCTTCTAGTGGAGCTTCTGCTGCTGCTGCTTCTTCTAGGAGCTTCTAGTGGAGTTGCTGCTGCTGCTGCTGCTTCTGGTGGAGCTACTGCTGCTGCTGCTTGCAGTGCTGCGTGTGAGCAAGGCTGTGCGGCGCTGCGGCTTCACCCGGCCGTGAGATGAGCGAGCAGCGAGCGCGCCGAGTGAAATGTTTAGCAGATGGAGGCAGCGCCGCTGGCCACGTGCATCGCGTCTGGACTCACAGGGGAGAGAGGCCCGAACATTCCTCCCTCCCCTCCTCCTCCACACAGCCACAGACACGATACCCCCCACCCAACCCCACCGCTCCCCCCCACCACCACACTACCCCCCCCCCACCACACTCCCCCCCCACCACACTCCCCCCCACCACACTCCCCACCACCACACTCCCCCCCACCACAACACTCCCCCACCACCACACTCCCCCCCACTACACTCCCCCCCCACTACACTCCCCCCCCCCCACTACACTCCCCACCCACCACACTCCCCACCCACCACACTCCCCCCCACCACACTCCCCCCCACCACACTCCCCCCCCCACCACACTTCCCACCCACCACACTCCCCACCACCACACTCCCCCCCACCACACTCCCCACCACCACACTCCCCCCCACCACAACACTCCCCCACCACCACACTCCCCCCCACTACACTCCCCCCCCACTACACTCCCCTCCCCCCACTACACTCCCCACCACACTCCCCACCCACCACACTCCCCCCCACCACACTCCCCACCACCACACTCCCCCCCACCACAACACTCCCCCACCACCACACTCTCCCCCACTACACTCCCCCCCCACTACACTCCCCCCCCCACTACACTCCCCACCCACCACACTCCCCACCCACCACACTCCCCCCCCCCATTCCCCCCACCACTCCCACTAACCACCACACTCTCCCCCACCACACTCCCCACCACCACTCCCCCCACCACCACACTCCCCCCCACCACAACACTCCCCCACCACCACACTCCCCCCCACTACACTCCCCCCCCACTACACTCCCCCCCCCCACTACACTCCCCACCCACCACACTCCCCACCCACCACACTCCCCACCCACCACACTCCCCACCCACCACACTCCCCCCCCCCATTCCCCCCACCACTCCCTCTAACCACCACACTCTCCCCCATCACACTCCCCCACCACCACTCCCCCCACCACCACACTCCACCCACCACACTCCTCCCCACCACACTCACCCACCACACTCCCCCCACCACACTCCCCCTCCACCACACTCCCCCACCACACTCCCCCCACCACACTCCACCCACCACCACACTCCCCCCCACCCACGCCGCCAACTCTCGTGCGTTGGTTGTGGGGCCGTCCATAAATGACGTCACGCGATTTTGGAGGATTTTTGACTCCCCCCCCCCTCGTCACATGACGTCACAAAAAGTCAGACCCCCCCCCTCAAATATGACGTCACAAAGCTCTGTCCCCCCTCCCCCCCAAATAAAACATGCTTCAAATCTTGATTTAAAGCTTTCGTTACTGCAGGGATTCATATTCTTGGTTCTTTCGGTAAAGTCACGTAGAAGGGAAAATATGAAAAAATAAAAAATATGTTATTATTAATAAAATAAGAAAAATATATATTATTATAAAAAAAAATCTTATTAATAAAATAAGAAAAATATATATTATTAATAAAATAAACATATGATTAAAAAAGAAAAAAATATATTATTAATAAAACATTTTTATTATTTTGTTATTTCCCTTCTACGTGACTTTACCGAAAGAACCAAGAACATGTTTCAAATCGCTTTAAACTATTGTCATTGTAGTGCCTATTTAATGTGGCGCTGCACTCTGATGTTGTAGGAGAAAACATTTATTAAAAAGTCTATTTAATTAAGTAGAACGTGTTGTCTATATTCATTTAAAGTTGCGCATTTTGATGTGACGTCACACATCGTCACAAATGTCTGACCCCCTCCCCTAGGTGCGTGACGTCATTTATGGACGGCCCCTCAATAGGGTGCGCTATGTGCAGGGTACAGGGTGCAGGGTACAGTGTGAGGGTGCAGGGTGCAGGGTGCAGTGTGGAGTGTGCAGGGTGCAGTGTGCAGGGTGCAGTGTGCAGGGTGCAGTGTGCAGGGTGCAGGGTGAGTGTGGAGTGTGCAGTGTTCAGTGTGGAGTGTGCAGTGTGCAGGGTGCAGTGTGCAGGGTGCAGGGTGTAGGGTGTAGGGTGGAGTGTGCAGGGTGCAGTGTGCAGGGTGGAGTGTGCAGGGTGCAGTGTGCAGGGTGCAGGGTGCAGGGTGGAGGGTGCAGGGTGCAGGGTGCAGGGTGAGTGTGCAGGGTGAGTGTGCAGGGTGCAGTGTGCAGGGTGGAGTGTGCAGGGTGCAGTGTGCAGGGTGCAGGGTGCAGGGTGGAGGGTGCAGGGTGCAGTGTGCAGGGTGCAGGGTGGAGGGTGCAGGGTGCAGGGTGCAGGGTGAGTGTGGAGTGTGCAGTGTGCAGGGTGGAGTGTGCAGGGTGCAGGGTGAGGGTGCAGGGGGAGTGTGCAGGGTGCAGTGTGCAGTGTGCAGTGTGAAGGGTGGAGGGTGCAGTGTGCAGTGTGCAGTGTGAAGGGTGCAGTGTGCAGTGTGCAGGGTGCAGTGTGCAGGGTGCATAGTGCAGTGTGCAGGGTGCAGTGTGAGGGTGCATAGTGCAGTGTGCAGTGTGCAGTGTGCAGGGTGCAGGGTGCAGTGTGCAGGGTGCATAGTGCAGTGTGCAGTGTGCAGTGTGCAGTGTGAAGGGTGCAGTGTGCAGCGTGCAGGGTGCAGTGTGCAGGGTGCAGTGTGCAGTGTGAAGGGTGCAGTGTGCAGCGTGCAGGGTGCAGCGTGCAGGGTGCAGGGTGCAGCGTGCAGGGTGCAGTGTGCAGGGTGCAGGGTGCAGTGTGAAGGGTGCAGTGTGCAGCGTGCAGGGTGCAGCGTGCAGGGTGCAGTGTGCAGAGTGAAGGGTGCAGTGTGCAGCGTGCAGGGTGCAGCGTGCAGGGTGCAGGGTGCAACGTGCAGGGTGCAGTGTGCAGGGTGCAGGGTGCAGTGTGCAGGGTGCAGTGTGCAGGGTGCAGAGTGCAGTGTGAAGGGTGCAGTGTGCAGCGTGCAGGGTGCAGCGTGCAGGGTGCAGCGTGCAGGGTGCAGTGTGCAGGGTGCAGGGTGCAGTGTGCAGGGTGCAGTGTGCAGGGTGCAGTGTGCAGGGTGCAGGGTGCAGTGTGCAGGGTGCAGTGTGCAGAGTGAGTGTGCAGGGTGCAGGGTGCAGGGTGCAGTGTGCAGTGTGCAGGGTGCAGGGTGCAGTGTGCAGGGTGCAGCGTGCAGGGTGCAGTGTGAAGGGTGCAGGGTGCAGGGTGCAGTGTGCAGGGTGCAGTGTGAAGGGTGCAGGGTGCAGGGTACAGTGTGCAGTGTGCAGGGTGAGTGTGCAGGGTGCAGGGTGCAGTGTGCAGTGTGCAGTGTTCAGGGTGCAGGGTGAGTGTGCAGGGTGCAGGGTGCAGTGTGCAGGGTGCAGCGTGCAGGGTGCAGTGTGCAGGGTGCAGCGTGCAGGGTGCAGTGTGCAGTGTGCAGTGTGCAGGGTGCAGTGTGCAGTGTGCAGGGTGTAAGGTGCAGGGTGAGTGTGCAGGGTGGAGGGTGCAGCGTGCAGGGTGCAGGGTGCAGGGTGCAGTGTGCAGTGTGCAGGGTGCAGGGTGCAGCGTGCAGGGTGCAGTGTGCAGGGTGCAGGGTGCAGTGTGCAGGGTGCAGTGTGCAGGGTGCAGGGTGCAGTGTGCAGTGTGCAGGGTGCAGGGTGCAGTGTGCAGTGTGCAGGGTGCAGCGTGCAGGGTGCAGGGTGCAGTGTGCAGTGTGCAGTGTGCAGGGTGCAGGGTGCAGCGTGCAGGGTGCAGTGTGCAGGGTGCAGCGTGCAGTGTGCAGTGTGCAGGGTGCAGTGTGCAGTGTGCAGTGTGCAGTGTGCAGGGTGCAGTGTGCAGGGTGCAGCGTGCAGGGTGCAGTGTGCAGTGTGCAGCGTGCAGTGTGCAGGGTGCAGGGTGCAGCGTGCAGGGTGCAGTGTGCAGGGTGCAGCGTGCAGTGTGCAGGGTGCAGGGTGCAGCGTGCAGGGTGCAGTGTGCAGTGTGCAGTGTGCAGTGTGAAGGGTGCAGTGTGCAGCGTGCAGGGTGCAGTGTGCAGGTGCAGTGTGGCAGTGTGAAGGGTGCAGTGTGCAGCGTGCAGGGTGCAGCGTGCAGGGTGCAGGGTGCAGCGTGCAGGGTGCAGTGTGCAGGGTGCAGGGTGCAGTGTGAAGGGTGCAGTGTGCAGCGTGCAGGGTGCAGCGTGCAGGGTGCAGTGTGCAGTGTGAAGGGTGCAGTGTGCAGCGTGCAGGGTGCAGCGTGCAGGGTGCAGGGTGCAGCGTGCAGGGTGCAGTGTGCAGGGTGCAGGGTGCAGTGTGAAGGGTGCAGTGTGCAGCGTGCAGGGTGCAGTGTGCAGGGTGCAGTGTGCAGTGTGAAGGGTGCAGTGTGCAGCGTGCAGGGTGCAGCGTGCAGGGTGCAGGGTGCAGGGCAGGTGCAGGGTGCAGTGTGCAGGGTGCAGGGTGTAGTGTGCAGGGTGCAGTGTGCAGGGTGCAGTGTGCAGGGTGCAGCGTGCAGGGTGCAGTGTGCAGGGTGCAGGGTGCAGTGTGCAGGGTGCAGTGTGCAGAGTGAGTGTGCAGGGTGCAGGGTGCAGGGTGCAGTGTGCAGTGTGCAGGGTGCAGGGTGCAGTGTGCAGGGTGTAGCGTGCAGGGTGTAGTGTGCAGGGTGTAGGATGCAGGGTGCAGTGTGCAGGGTGCAGTGTGAAGGGTGCAGGGTGCAGGGTACAGTGTGCAGTGTGCAGGGTGAGTGTGCAGGGTGCAGGGTGCAGTGTGCAGTGTGCAGTGTTCAGGGTGCAGGGTGAGTGTGCAGGGTGCAGGGTGCAGGGTGCAGTGTGCAGGGTGCAGCGTGCAGGGTGCAGAGTGCAGGGTGCAGCGTGCAGGGTGCAGTGTGCAGTGTGCAGTGTGCAGGGTGCAGTGTGCAGTGTGCAGGGTGTAGGGTGCAGGGTGAGTGTGCAGGGTGGAGGGTGCAGCGTGCAGGGTGCAGGGTGCAGGGTGCAGTGTGCAGTGTGCAGTGTGCAGGGTGCAGCGTGCAGGGTGCAGTGTGCAGGGTGCAGCGTGCAGTGTGCAGGGTGCAGTGTGCAGGGTGGAGTGTGCAGGGTGCAGGGTGCAGTGTGCAG